TGCATAATTTATTTTCCTACTCCTAGCTAGATTTTCAATTAAAAACCCCATTTTATGGTCGAATTTGGTTGCCTATACTGTATAGGCTATACTAAGTTTGAAATGCACAAATTTTCCAATGACAGATCATAACGTGCTGAAAAAATAATGCAACTGTGAATATAACTGAACAAACACCTTCACCGAATCTACCGTTAAAATCTCTATCACGAACAAACGATTTCATAGCCATTTATATGCAATTTATTATCACTAACCTTGGATAACTTGGCAAGTATTAAGTTGACAAGACCAAGACAACACTTGCCAAGTTGATAAACGTATCACTAGAATATTGCCATTTTAACTCTACTCAGATGCTGTTTCTTTGTTATTTTATCTTAATACATCAACAAAGGTCATCTAAATCCCAAGGGTGGGTAGTAGCGAAGTAGTTGTAGTTAGCTACTGTAGCGAACTACAATTTTCAAGTAGCCAGTAGTTTTTGACTACTTTTTTAAAACAGTACTACACCGCCTGTAGTTATAGCGAACTACATTTTGCCCAATAGTAGCCAAGTAGTTGACTACTTTTCAAACAGCGAATCGCTATTCGCTACTTTTTAAAATTCAGGTTAGCAACTTGATAGAATAGCATGATATTGAGACACTGTTTGCTTAAAATCAATACTCAATAGTCAATTTGCACTCTTGAACAGTACTGTACTAGTGCTTACTTAAAATGTTGCTTTGTGTTTACTGTTGCTACTCGTAAGTCGATTTGTTATAGGTTACATTTCAGCCTGAGTTAATAGATGCTCCAAATACAGTAAAACTAAAAAATATAGCGTAGCGAAACAGTGAAATAGTTCGCTACATTTTTTAAGCAGTAGCTGTAGTCAGTAGCGAACTACCTTTGTTCAAAAGTAGCAGTAGTTGTAGCTGACTACATATTTTTGAAGTAGCTGTAGTTATAGCGAACTACAAAAATTTTGTAGTCAACCCACCCTTGCTAAATCCTAGAAACTAGACCAATTATTACTTATCATCTATATGGAATGTGGTTGCATTGTTGTTCTCAACTGGGTATATCAGTCCAGTTCTTTGATCCATTGTGTTTCTCATGGCATTGACAGATGCAAACCACACTTCAGTCAATTAAATTAAATTTTGATTAAACTTTGATTTCAAACACTCATTAATAATTCATAAGCTTATTGGCAAATCATGTCAACCATAATATGTCACGTGCAGCGATGCAGTGACTTTAAACCTGATAAAACACTCCTAATTAGTATTGTTTATATAAAGAATACTAATAAGGTAGTATCTATTGTAGTTATATCCTCATTTAATAATATTCTTTATATAAAGAATACTAAAAGGCAGTATATCTATTGAATTTGTAGTCATGTTTGAAGCCGTTTAATAAACTCGCAGATCGTGTTTTAGGGAGTGGTCATTTTCATGGGGGGGGGGGGTAAATGGGAGGGGGGGACAAACGAAGTTTTACCCTTATAAATAGGGGGGGTCCAAAAAGTTTTAACCTAGAGAAAAGGGGGTTGTCAAAAACGTTTTTGAACTTAAATACCATGCATGTCTAGATTTCTGATTTCTATAATCACAAACAGTATAAACTCACAAATCATAATGCCAAAGAGGTAAAGAAGACTCTGAAAATGCCATTTCCAACGATCTAGAGACTCAACATTTTCAAAATTTCCCTGCTCGGCACCAACCATGGTAGCGCCTCGTGGGAGTCGGGCCCACTAAGTTTAACAAGCTTCCTACCCCCTGAGTGACCCACATGTGGTATTTAGATAAACATACCATGCAAGAAGTACTTAACTGATCAGATTCGGTCTATCAAAGCACAATGTAACACTGTATATCCAAAAATCTGTTTCAGAAAATGCTCACATTTCAGTCCTAGGGGTGGAAAAATACAAAAAGATTTTCTGGGGGAGAATGCCCCCAGACCCCCTTACTAGTACATACGATGCCACACTAAACCTTTTGTCTCCAACAACCATCTCTCATCTCTCCACACTCAGTATAGTATGGTCCCTTTTTGTAGATGCCCCCCCCCCAGACAAGTTCGTAAAAAAAGCCCTGTGTTCAAAAATCTTTCGCTGTATGAAGACAGGCCATGGGTTAGGTTATGGTAGGACAAACATTGTATTGCAAAGTAGTAACACATAATATATATTTTAATCACATATGGTTGAATCGTATTCACCAGGGTAAAACATCATGAGCTAGATTAAACAGATTGTCCTAATATCTAACTTTACCTGCAACGCACGTCTGTTTCATTGCTGTTAATTTTTCAATCCACAGGGGGGGGGGTCAGAAAAGTTTCTACTCTTATGAGGGGGGGGGGGGACAAAAAGTTTGCTTTCAGTCTGGAGGGGGGGGGTCAAAAAAGTTTTCAATCCTTATTTTCCCCATTTACCAACCCCCTTCCCAATGACCACTCCCTTATTAGATCTAAAGCCACGTGCACGCTCGTTGCTTTAAACCTAATAAAACGCTCCTGCTCGTTTATCAAACAGTACATAATGGTCACATAAACAGTTTCAAAACAGGGTCAGTCATTTGTCAGTATTTATACTAAAGTCACCATATACCAGGAAATAACTTTGGTGTTTTGGCCTTGTACGCTTGGAAAACTGGATCATTTGACCATCTTCGTCGGGCTTGAGCTTCTTGTAGTGGAATGCCACTCACTTTTGTTAAGAGAAAAGCAACAAAGAGTGGGGATGCAATACTGAGATACTGCCAGCCTTGCATGATGGATGATGCAGGTAGGTACAGACCAAACCACAACAATATTTCACCAAGATAGTTAGGATAACGAACGATGCTCCATAACCCAGTTGTGATGAATTTCTTATGATTTGCTGGATTACTTCTAAATATGGTCTTCTGGTAGTCAGCAATCAGTTGAATACAAAATCCTACAGTCCACATAGACCAGCCTAGATAGTCTTTCCAGGCTAATGGAGGGTTCCTTTTCGAGGTATTTAACATGAGGGTAGGGAGGGTAGTCATGTAAACCCATACGCCTTGAATAGTCCAAAATAAAAGCATCATTGAGGGCTTATCTCTTACTTTATTAAACCTGCTATCTCCTCCTTCACGAAGAACTCTTGTGAATAGAAAGAGGCCAAGACGAACTGCCCATGCAGTGATACATGATGACTGAATAACTTGGCGAGTATTAAATTGACGAGACCAAGACAACACTTGCCAAGTTAAGTAAATAAACGTAGAACTGCCTGCTAGATCATAGAACTTCTCTGTCTTCAGTATGGTAGATATAGCACACAGTATCCATTGAATACCCATGTCAAGTATTGCAGCTCTAGCATAAGGAGAATTGAACATTTCTAAAGATAAGTAGCTGCCCATATTATGATAGACAAGGTCTCTGTCAATTGTCAAAATGCTTGCGTTTGCCCCAGCCTAGACCTAGGCCTTCTATTTTTATTTATATTATATATACCTCACAATGAGCTTGTCCAATCAGAGAACTAAATTTGTACCACATGACCATGGTATTTTTCAGCGAATACTATGACCTAGGCAATTTGAACCCTGGGTGTTTTACCCGGGGCCATGGTATTCGACTTCGAATACCACGCTTGTCCTCTATTAACTATGCCTAAAGTTATCAAAAGTTGTGTTTTGAAATTAAAAGTTAATTGAATGGTATTTGTTTTCTACTTATTTTTGAAAGGTTCGGTATAATATACCATTTATAGACCTTTCACTCGGGGTATTCCACAAAAAATTACCCTGCGGGATGAAATATTCCTCGGGCTTCACCCTCGGAATATTTCATCCCTCAGGGTAATTTTTTGTGGAATACCCCTCGTTTCAGGTCTATAATAACCTGAAGTTCAGGCCCTAATCACAGAATAGGGCCTGACACAAAACGTATCTAAAGTGTGAGATTCCCGTCCACCTGGTGGACGGGAAATCTGATTGGTTGATCAGCATCATGAAGGATTTTGATTGGTTGCAAGTTTACATAAACAACAGTTTTAAAAATAAATAGCTCGGTCAAGGCGACAATTAATATAAAGGTCAAACGCACGTACAAATTCCATTATCGATTTCTTCGAATTTCTTTTTCTTTTATGCTTTATGGCAGAAAATAAATCAAACAAACAGTATTTTGAAAGGCCTTTATCAAAATCTAGGACGAATTTTGGACACACGACACCGAAAGAACAGCCAAACTAGTCATGTATTCGAAAGCTTGTTGTTGACAGCCAAGATGTTTTGCCAACTGGCTTCGCCGGCAAAAGTCTTATTTTTAATATCAGGTCCTACCGGCGTTGTTTTCTGAGCTACATCGCCTTCTTCGTGGTACGATTGAGAATTTCATTGTTGCTGCAGTTGTTAGCCCGTTTTAATAAAGTATATCCCTAATATCCGGCATGTACTAAAAGGCGAAACGTCGAAACGAAACGAACGAAACGAAACGGCCGAAACCATCGAAACCACCGAAACGACCGAAACGAAACAACCGAAACGAAACAACCGAAACGAAACGACCGAAACGAAACGACCGAAACGAAACGACCGAAACGAAACGGCCGGAAATGTAAATGCGGATACGGACGGACGGGGGGAAGAGGCGGATGGACGGGGAAAACAGGCGGATGGACGGGAGGACAGGCAGATGGACGGGGGGGGACGGCTTCATTTGACGCGAAACTCAATTTTAAAATCAAATCCGCGTTTTGTTGCAAGGGATATATTAGGATATATTATAAAAGACTATTATTAATCGTAATAAATTGTCCGCGAAAAGTTGATAAAATACATGTGGAAATGTAATTGTTTTTGTTTGTGGAAACACCACGTAAATTTATTACTGCAAAGCTTTCGATCCGTAAGCCCGGATCTTCATCAGTGCTAATAATATGTGGAAATGCTGGGTTTTTCAAACCTTCGTAACGCTTGATATAAGGATAAAACGCGGATATGCTGCAACTTTCATGCTTAATTTCCTCAGTCATCTGGGTATGTAGTAATCCAATTTTATGCAATGTAATATGCTATTTTTTCAAGCGCTTTTCAATGCAGTTATCGGTTTAAATATAACTCAAATTCCCGCTAAGAAATGACAATTGCCGTACGGCCTACTTTTACGCAAACGCAAATTACAACTGCAAATTTCATGCTTAATTTTCTCTGTTATCCGGGCATGTAGTAATGTAATTTGATGCCAATGTAATGTGCTGATGAAATTTGCAGTTGTAATTTGCGTTTGCGTAAAAGTAGCCCGTACGGCAATTGTCATATCTTAACGGGAATTTGAGTTATATTTAAACCGATAACTGCATTGAAAAGCCCTTGAAAAATAGCACCTTACATTGGCATAAAATTACATTACTACATGCGCAGATAACAGAGAAAATTAAGCATGAAATTTGCAGTTGTAATTTGCGTTTGCGTAAAAGTAGGCCGTACGGCAATTGTCATATCTCTTAACGGGAATTTTAGGTATATTTAAACCGGTAACTGCATTGAAAAGCGCTTGAAAAATAGCACATTACATTGCATAAAATCAGATTACTACATACCCAGATGACTGAGAATATTAAGCATGAAAGTTGCAACATATCCGCGTTTTATCCTTATATCAAGCGTTACGAAGGTTCGAAAAACCCCGCATTTCCACATGTATTTTATCAACTTTTGGCGGACAATTTATTATGATTAATAATAGTCTTTTATAATATATCCTAATATATCCCTTTGAAGCCGTCAAATGAAGCCGTCCCCCCCCGTCCATCCGTCCTCCCCGTCCATCCATCTGTCGCCCCCCCCCTCCCCCCCCGTCCATCCGCCTCTTCCCCCGTCCATACGCCTCTTCCCCCGTCCATCCGCCTGTTTTCCCCGTCCATCCGCCTGTCCCCCCCGTCCGTCCGTCCGTCCGTATCCGCATTTTTCGATTTTCCTGTAATTTACATTTTCGGCCGTTTCGTTTCGGCCGTTTCGTTTCGACTTTCGCCTTTTAGTACATGCCCTAATATCCGCGTCCAGCCAATCTCGTTCCCAGAGTATGCCTGTTTGCGGGTTAGGTCATGCCACAACCTAACCCGCGAACAGGCATACTCTGGGAACGAGATTGGCGTCCAGCAAGTTGAGACCTAGCCTGCTCGCAGGCCGTTGTCAGGCAGAGGCAAGGCTGCCACTCGTAGGGGGATTCTCCTACGGTAGGGGATTATCACCTCTTGTAGGGAGTAGGGGATACCTACGGGGAAAATGGTAATTTGTAGGGGAACGTAGGGGGTTTCTTTTACGGTTTACCTACAAAAGTCGTATTTCTCTTTTTGTGATTATCCAAATCAGTTCTTCCGTAAATTTCAATATTTTATGGCTTCTATGGAGTATGGAACATTGTATGGAACTGCAGGATTTTTTATGGAAACTAGAAATTTAAATTTGAATGTGGAAGCACTGAAATATCATGTGATGAGTATGGTGATGAGTGATATTGTATTTTCCCAGGAGAACCTTCACGCGAAAAAAGTGCAGCCAAAAACATGGCGGATTTTGGCCTTTGCTGACGGCATTTCCATGACAACTGGTCCGTAATTCTCACCACTGACCAGGCTCGGATTTGAGCCCGCTACAATTTCCACACCCCCTTGGCTATTTGAAAAAACTTTAGGTTTTTGCAATTTTGCTCGGGTTTTAGAGTAATAGGGAGTTTGAGCTTCACGTTTGCGGGAGCGCCAAACGGCAAGGCCGACTTTTCTTGGCATAAAGTCGTTCGATTTCTGCGTGTCATATTTTCCTTCATATGAAACAACAAGCCCATTTACTTTTTATCGCTTTTTATCGTAGAATTTTTCTTTGCCTGACGTTCGTCGTTGAACGTGAAGCTTAACTCTCTATTGTGTAGTAAGTATAAGAGCAGGTCCTCCAGTTATTATACAGCCCAGTGTATTTTCCCTACAAATATACAATATTAGTAGGGAAAATACAATATTTGTAGGGGAACGTAGGGGAACATTGGGGACAATTGCATATCGTGCTGTAGGGGAAACGTAGGGGATTTCAGTGCCCGCCATAGGTGAAAATAGGGAACGGAGAGTGGCAGCCCTGGGCAGAGGCTGCATGGGAGGAACGCTAGTTGAGACCTTGAGAAAGCTTGGCAGTCTAGCCGTCTTTTTATATAAAAGTACCTTGAATTTTTAAGTTTAATTATAAAGCAAAATGCACACTCTGCGGACATGTTCATGAGAATATAATTTTTTTGTGTAACGAAATCTATAACACTTGTCAATCATATTGCATGTTGTGTCTAAAAATAACATGTGGGCGTCCCACGGTCTAGACAGGTTTTGTGTCAGGCCCTATTTCAAATTAGGGCCTGAACATCAGGTTAGGTCTATAACTGATAAATATTTTTTTAATATTCAGCGCTTTTTCACATGAAAAGACTGGGACTAGGTGATTTGGGGGCGGGGCGGAGGAAGGCTTGGCCCCGCCCCCAAATCACTTAGTCCCAGTCTTTTCCTGTGAAAAAGCGCTGAATATTAAAAAAATATAAATAAGACTAGAAGGCCTAGGTCTAGGTAACCTGAAGTTCAGGCCCTAATTTGAAATAGGGCCTGACACAAAACCTGTCTAGACCGTGAGACGCCCACATGTTATTTTTAGACACAAGCCAATATGATTGACAAGTGTTGTAGATTTCGTTACACAAAAAAATTATATTCTCATGAACATGTCCGCACAAGGGAGCACGCCAGAAATATTTGTGTAAATTTATACTAACCTTTTAATTACATGTAAATGTTTTCAATTTTCATCGGGCGCCATTTTGAATGTTGAAAGCGGTATATATTATTAGCTTATCGCAGGCGAAATAATTTATGTTCATCTTTGACATTAATTTATGTTACACGATGATACTCCGAAGGGCGACCGAGAAAGATCCGAAATTTAAAATAAGGCGGAGAAATAATAAAAAATAAAGAGGGGAGTGAAACGGCCGAACTATTATCCACTGATGCTGGTTGACTGTTACTAGGAACATTTGATGTTGCTAGGAACAAACCGGAAACAAAATGAGACCTACTATTACGGGAACCACTGAGTATTTTAAAATAATATACTGTAGAACAACAAATATAATATAATATACTGTAGAAAATATTTTTTTTTTATTATTTTCGGATTTACCGTTGATTTATATTTGATCTACTATAATTAGTTCAAGCGAGTCACATTAGAATTAACCTGAAGTTCAGGCCCTAATTTGAAATAGGGCCTGACACAAAACCTGTCTAGACCGTGGGACGCCCACATGTTATTTTTAGACACAACATGCAATATGATTGACAAGTGTTATAGATTTCGTTACACAAAAAAATTATATTCTCATGAACATGCACGCAGAGTGTGCATTTTGCTTTATAATTAAACTTAAAAATCCAAGGTACTTTTATATAAATAAGATTCAGACAAAAGATTTAATTAGTCAGTTCTGTGCACGGCTACACTGCCAAGCTTTCTCAAGGTCTCAACTTGCTGGACGCGGATATTAGGGATATACTTTATTATTAAAACGGGCTAACAACAGCAACAATGAAATTCTCAATCGTACCACGAAGAAGGCGATGTAGCTCAGAAAACAACGCCGGTAGGACCTGATATTAAAAATAAGACTTTGCCGGCGAAGCCAGTTGGCAAAACATCTTGGCTGTCAACAACAAGCTTTCGAATACATGACTAGTTTGGCTGTTCTTTCGGCGTCGTGTGTCGAAAATTCGTCCAAGATTTTGATAAAGCCCTTTCAAAATACTGTTTGTTTGATTTATTTTCTGCCATAAAGCATAAAAGAAAAAGAAATTCGAAGAAATCGATAATGGATTTGTACGTGCGTTTGACCTTTATATTAATTGTCGCCTTGACCGAGCTATTTTTAAAACTGTTGTTTATGTAAACTTGCAACCAATCAAAATCCTTCATGATGCTGATCAACCAATCAGATTTCCCGTCCACCAGGTGGACGGGAATCTCACACTTTAGACAGGTTTTGTGTCAGGCCCTATTCTGTGATTAGGGCCTGAACTTCAGGTTACATTAGAATATATTATTAAAATTGGGGACAATGGCGAGAGTTTGTATATCAAATAAACATCGGCTGCTCGTGTTTTAACGTGCTTAAAAGACGAACCATCATATGAGTTCATTGGCGAAGTAATTTTAAAAAATAAACATTGTCTAAGCCGAGAAAATCGAAGCTGAAGTTTATGTAAATGAGGACAATTTACAAATCTATTATCCGACGATTTACATACATTGATTAAACATTCATTTCTTTTGAATTTCCTTCATGAATTATTAATACTGTATTTTGTGTCCAGCATTCGCAAATGTTTTTGTTTCTCTGCTGTCGAAAATTCACTGCTGGCACAGAATAGGAAGTTGTACCAGAAGCGTAACTCGAGCAAATATTTGTCCGCGTTTTTACAAGCGATTCGTCATCAATCACGCCATCCTGGCTAGTACAACCGGCACTTTGTACCTACCAAATCCTGATAAAACTTCCGGCTGTACTAGCCAGGATGGCGTGGCCTGACGTGAGCGAGTTAAAATTTTCGTGGACGTCAAACAATAAGGGAAACGACTAGAGTTACGCTTCTGGTATAACTTCCTATTCT